ACTGAGAGATTTTTAAGAAAAAAGCTGTTAGAATGTCACGGTCTGGATCTCATTTTTATTTTCAACAGTAGGGTCATTAATCCTTTTCCTCTCTCTCCAGCTTTATTTTTCTGTGTATTCAAATGGAGTTCAATAAGTGTCCAGACCAGGGGTCCTCAAACTTTTAAAACAGGGAGCCAGTTCACTGTCCCTCAGACCACTGGAGGGCCAGACTATAGTTTAAAGAAAACTATGAACAAATTCCAGTGCACACTGCACATATCTTATTTTGAAGTAAAAAAACAAAACGGGAACAAATACAATATTTGTATTTGCATGTGGCCCGCGGGCCGTAGTTTGAGGACCCCTGGTCCAGACAATCCTTAACACTGCATTAGGTACATTTTTCTATACACAGCCCTCTTCTCTAGATCTATTTTATGGGATCTACTGTATGATCTAAAAAGCTATGTATAGTTCTTCACTGCTTAAGCTCTAAAGGATAAAATGCACTTTAATTTGGTTTAAAAAAAAAAGACTTTAATTTGTCAAAAATCTGATCCTAGCCTTCCTTTCTAGATTCAATGTCCTCCCTCCCAAACTACTCTATAGTTAAATCGGTTGTTTTGAAGAGGCTCATGCTAGTAGGAGACCCAGGCTGGGCCTTGGACACTCCTAGTCCTCAGTACCCACCGGTAACGTTAGCCAGGCTGGCTAGGCACCTCTTACTCTGAGAATCTGGGCCAGAATGAGGATTTAAATTCTAATGGTAGCGGTTCCACTTCCAGGTAAGATGGAATAAGCACACTCCCCCTGTGTCCCACTGAATGCAGCTATAAAACACAATGCATGGGTCAGCTATCTGAGGACTCTGGGAAAAAAATAGTAGCAGGCAAATTAAGGAAGAATAATTCTTTTAAAAATATATTTTATTGATTTTTTACAGAGAGGAAGGGAGAGGAACAGTTAGAAACATCAATGAGAGAGAAACATCGATCAGCTGCCTCCTGCACACCCCCGCAACCAAGGTACATGCCCTTGACTGGAATTGAACCTGGGACCCTTCAGTCCGCAGGATGATGCTCTATCCACTGAGCCAAACAGGTTAGGGCAAGGAAGAATAATTCTTGAAGACTGGAATCCAAAGTACCGCTGAACTAGTTCTAAGTTTACATTCTGGATTTTATCTGGAGACTGTAGACATCATTTTGTATATACTTTGAGTTGTTTTATTCATGAAAAAAATTTAAGCAGGCAATTAACTTGTTTATACTTGTGTTATGGTGGGTGGCAATTCAAATCTCAGTTCATATCTTTAAGCCTCAGAATTTGTATTGTGCATGTGGGTTTAAGGATCAGCTTGAGACTTGTGATGGATTCATATACAGAAGTAGAGGAATTCTCTTTGTGGCTCTCTTCCTTCCAGGATTCCCCCTCACTATCCACTATCCAGGTATGGCTATTGTATGCTTTTTTATGGTTCCTTCAGCCAGAAAGACGATAGTGGGCTTTCTACTATAGTTTTAGCTTCTTATGCACTATGTGACTATGGCCCACTCTCAGGGTAAAGACACACACACACACACACACACACACACACAGACGACACTCATCCATGTGATAGTTGCTTCTTCAGATTTTGACTCCCCTCTACAAGTGTCTGCTTTTATTTACTCTTCAGAATCCCTACGTAGTTGTTTTTTAATATTTTGTCCAGAATTTATAGTTATCAGGATAAGAGATGTTTTGTAGAATTTTGTATCATCATAATAAACTATTTTTGTTTAAAACATAAAAATTTATTGCCCGTGCAAAAATCACATTAATAATTTTTAAAAAGCCTCACATAGCCCTAGCCAGTTTGGCTCAGTGGATAGAGCATCGGCCTGCAGACTGAAGGGTACCAGGTTTGATTCCGGTCAGGGGCACATGCCTGGGTTGCGGCTGGATCCCCAGTAGGGGGTGTACAGGAGGCAACCGATTAATGATTCTCTCTCATCATTGATGTTTCTATCTCTCTCCCTCTCCCTTCTTTTCTGAAATCAATAAAAAAAGCCTCATAGGCAAAGGTAACTTAGTGAAGTCTATTTTAAAGTGGGTTCAAGCAAGCAAACAATCCCCTGCAGTTTTACACAGTAGTAGAGCCCACACATTTGGACTGAGACCTCGGTTCAAATCCTGAGTCTACCTCTTACTAGATGTGTAACCTTGGATAAGTTACTTCAACTCTCTGCGCTTGTTTCCTCATTGTAAAATGGAGAAAACAATAGTACTTACCTCTCAGGATATTGGGTGGATTAATTAGGTGATGAATGTAAAGCCGTGGTAGGCAAACCACAAAATACCACGCGTGGGCGCGCACGTACAGTGCGATTGAAACTTCGTGGCCCATGCGCAGACGTCGGTATTTTGTGGAAGAGCCACACTCAAGGGGCCAAAGAGCCGCATGTGGCTCACGAGCCGCGGTTTGCCGAGCCGCAGTTTGCCGACCACTGATGTAAAGCATTCAGTACAGTGTTAAGCACTTATAAAAATGTTCAAAGTTAGCTATTATTGCAATAATAGTAATATTTTCTCCTGAATCCCAAAGGATTTCTATGGCCTATTTACTCAATTACTAATCCTTTATTTGATGTACTGTCACAAAAACAAATTGAGATCATGTTCCTTCACTTCCAGAAATGAATCACCTACCAAAATTCAGCACAAAACTAAAAAGACAAGTTTTGGTACACCCTCTAGTGGTATATGTTATGTGCAAGTACCTGGCTTCTGTGAAAAAAAAAAAAAATCCCTTCATGAAATATCACTGGGTTAAAGCTTAGAACCTGAAGCCAGCTGATGGAGCACATTATGGTGTGAATGGCAGTAGCCTACATCTTTTATAAAGCTCCCTCTCTTCTAGAGCTGCAGGATTTGTCTTTTAAAAATTTCCTCACCTTAATAAGAGGATATTTGTGATTGTTACTATACCAAATCCCACCACTTCGACGGTATTGACTTTATTCGTTCCTCTTAAAGAAAATCAGTTACTTTCTAGTTTGCGTTAACAAACATTGGAAAGTACCTATTTCTCTTTTAGTTATCAAAAATGAACGAAACACCAACTATATACCAGGCAATGGGGATCCAATAAACAACCTATTAGACAATTCTCTATATAATTACACATTTGAATGTGTATAAACTACCGCGAGTGTGCAATAGGGGACTGGCCTAGTTTGAGAGAGGGGCGCTGAAGGATTACTTGAGAATAAAAATGTTAAAAGCCTTGAAGGTTGAGTAGAAATTAATTGAAAGAAAAGGAGTACCATACAGAGAACATCGTCCGTCTATAAAGGCCTGGAGATAGCAAGGTGCACGGGGCACTTGCTAAATTGAGGGAAGGTTCCTTTCCTGGAGCTCAAAGAAGAGGGGGAAAGATTGTGCAAGGTGAGGCTAGTGAAGCAAGCAGGGACTCAAGACCATGTTAGGGAGTTTGAACTTCATCTTAAGAATAATGGAAAACTATGGAAGGGTTTAGAGCAAGAGGGCAACATCTGGTTTACATTTTCACAAGTTCACTTGGCTAAGGCATGGAAATGGATTTGAGGGAGTCAGTAATCCAGGTGAGACATGTTGAAACCTGTGACCAGGGAGGTAGCAGAAGAGACAAAGAAGTGGAGAGATATTTAAGTGAAAAAATGGATCGATGGAGTATGAAGGCTGGGATGGGAGCAGCAGTTCTGGTGAACTGAGTGGATAAGATAATGCCATGTTTGCCCAGCCGGTGTGGCTCAGTGGTTGAGGGCCACCTGTGAACCGGGAGGTCAGGGCTCAGCTCCTGTCGGGGCACCTGCCTGGGTTACAGGCTGGATCCCCAGCAGGGGGCGTGCAGGAGGCAGCCATCAATTTTTCTCTCTCATCGTTGATGTTTCCCTCTCCTTTCCTCTCTGAAATCAATAAAAAATTTTAAAAAAGAGAACGCCATGTTTCCCACTAGGTACAACTAACTTGAGGTGGTATCCGTTTGAAAGGGATTGTTGCGATAATGAGTTGTTTGGAGACTGAGGTTTTCCTCTTAAAAAGAACTTTGGCTGCAGCTACCATTTCAGTTGAATAATGCTTGGCCCCCGAGGCACCGCCCTCTGTCCAGCACAGCCCCAAGTCTTTTGTAGAAATCGATCACAGTGAGCCACTCCCACTACGCCAGTTCTGTTATTTCACATCTGCTTGGAAAGCCCTTAATGTCCTCCTATAGTCATTTCACCAGATTGTTTCAAAGTTCCAAGGTCACCTCCTCAAGGCAGCCTTCCTCGTGTCCCACCCACCCACCGGTCCTCCCGTCCCTTTGCCAGCTCGGAGGGAGCACTCAGCTTCGTGCCCCAGGCCTCCGGCGCAGCGCCCTGCAAATTCTAGGCGCTCCACACACTTTAAAAAAACAACAACATATTTTTATTGATTTCAGAGAGAGATAGAAGCATCAATGATGAGAGAATCACGGATCGGCTGCCTTCAGCATGCCCCACATTGGGGGTCGAGCTCGCAATCTGGGCACGGTGCCCTGGTCGGAATGGAACCAGCCATCTTCGAGTTCCTGGGTCAGAGCTCAACCATTGCGCCACACCGGCTCAGCCGCACGCTTTTACTTGAACCCATTTTCCCGTGAGCCAGTCGGCTGAACTGCGCACAGCTCCAGCGCAGCCCGGCGGAAGTGACGTGCTCTCAAAGAGGCGGTGCTTCCGGTCCCGAGGGCCGCCGCAGGGGGCGGGCTTCTCTGGCACGCTAACTCGGCTGCTCTGGAGGATTCACGCGTGGTAAGGTGTGCTGGGCGGAACGAGAGGGGGCCCCGGGACCCTCCCCCGCCGCCAAAGCGGCAGAGTGCCCCCCGCGGTTCCCGGGACGTGGCGGGAGCGCGGAGGCACTGGCTGAGAGGTACCCAGGCGCCCCCGCGCCCGGTGCGGGCGGGGGTGGGGTCGGGGAAGTGCCGGGCTGCCTGCCCGGGACGCGGGCGCGGGGACGGCCTCAGCTGCGGGGCGCTGGCCCCTCGGACGGTGCGGCCAGCCCCGCGCGGCCCTGCCCTGCGAGTAGACCCGGGCGACCCGGGCCCGATACACAGAGTTTCCCCCTCCCCACGCGCTCGGGGAACTCATTCAGGCGCGTGCGGTTAAGGGGCGCCCGCACCCCGCACCCAGGTATTGGTTCCGCCCCTCAGGTTGTGTTGAAGGGATGTTTCCAACTTGGGAGCTGAGGTTTTTAATCGGCTGTTGCCCGGGAGCTCCTGTAAGTCAGGTGAAGCGGAATTGAGGGCGGTTTGATAGACCCGGCATCGTCACGTGACTGTGAACACTAATATATGTCCCTGATCAACCTGCCGAAAGGAGTTGTGCTGGCAAACCACGTCAAAACACAGGGTTTCTGTATACAGTTTTGCCAACGCAAATCGTTGGCGTTGAAATGGCTTATTAACAGGATTGGAAGAAAGTAGCCCTGGGACTTAGCGATAGGAAAATAAACGACTAGGGAAGCTGCAAAGTTTGGGAAGAGTAACTTCTTTCATTGTATTATTTGGTGATTTAAATTTTGCGAAATAATTTGCTTTCTTAATATTTTCCAATTAAAAAAAATATTTTCCAGTTTTAAGCAAGTATTTATATTATAGTAGGCATGCTTTTGTTATATATATATATATGTAATTATATATATATAATTATAATTATATATAATTATATATAATTTTTTTTTTTTACTGATTTCAGAGGAAGGGAGAGGGGGAGAGATGAAACATCAATGATAAGAGAGAAGCATTGATTGGCTGTCTCCTGCTCGCCTTCTACTGGGGGTCCAGCCTGCAACCCCACCGCTAACTGGGAATCCAGTTGTGACTTCCTGATTCATATGGGTTGATGCTCAAACACTTAGCCACACAGGCTGGGCTTGTTTTTTTTCTTTTTGTTTTTTTTTTAACTGGTATAGTAGCTTCTCTGGTAAGGGCTGGATTTACATTATAGGCATATCTATGCAGCACATTATAGAATTAAATATATAGATCTATAAATGAAGTAAAAACCCATGTTTTATTATTTTTTTTTTAAAATATATTTTATTGCTTTTTTACAGAGAGGAAGGGAGAGAGATAGAGAGTTAGAAACATCGATGAGAGAGAAACATCGATCAGCTGCCTCCTGCACATCTCCCACTGGGGATGTGCGCGCAACCAAGGTACATGCCCTTGACCGGAATCGAACCTGGGACCTTTCAGTCCGCAGGCCGACGCTCTATCCACTGAGCCAAACCGGTTTTGGCCCATGTTTTAATGATTAAAACTTTAACATGGCATATGTGATATATAGCATGTATCTTTTTAAAAAATATTTTTATTGATTTCTGGGAGGAAGTGAGAGGGAGAGAGAGAGAGAGAAACATCAGTGATGAGAGAATCATTGATTGGCTGCCTCCTACTTTCTCCTCACTGGGGATCGAGTCCGCAACCCGGCATGTGCCCTTGACTGGAATCAAACCCAGGACCCTTCAGTCCGCAGGCCAGCACTCTCTCCACTGAGCCAAACCAGCTAGTGCTATAGCATGTGTCTTAAGTTTAGTTTATTTCTTTTAAATGATGACTAACTGCCATGCTTGTCTTAAAGATTGATACCGTACCTCGGATGAAACCATGACCAGGTGGGCACGAGTCACTACCACACACAACAAAAGACCCTTGCCTGCAACATCATGGGAGGATATGAAGAAGGGGTCCTGTGAGGAAAAAAGCCAAAGCCTACCAAAGAGTAAACAGCTTGAAGCCAATAGGCTGTGCCTTAAAAATGGTGCACACCAAGCAAAACACAAAAAGAATAAAAAGAAAAAGGACTACTTAAATGAAGATGTGAATGGATTCATGGACTACCTCAGACAAAATTCACAGATGGTTCACAATGGGGAAATAATAACAGACAGTCGGGAAGTACGGGAAGAAATTGAAGTTGCTTTAAAGAAAGATAGTCGCAGAGAAGGAAGACGGTTAAAGAGACAAGCAGCAAAGAAAAATGCAATGGTAAGATTATCACTTCTACCAAAATATTGCTTTAGATGGCTAGAAACTGTTAATCATATACTCACACATTTAGCAGTCTGATTGCTATTATGTACTAAATTATAAAGCATCTTTTTAAGGGCTAGTAACAACTATTTGCTAGAGACTTAATATATTCATTAATTATCACAACAACACTATAAACATGGTGTTCCCATCTTACGGGTAGAAAACACATGTAGACAGGTTAAGTAGCTTGCTGAAAACCACATTTGATTACTTAGAGTGCTAGCTGGCACTATGTAATTATATGTGCTTTTTTTAATAAATATGAACCTAAATGGGCTGCTAACTCTGCAGGCCAGCCAAAAAACACAATTTTTAAAAAAAAATATATATATGTATATATATATATATACACACACACACATACTGATTTCAGAGAGGAAGAGAGAGGGAGAGATAGATAGAAACATCAATGATGAGAGAGAATCATTGATCAGCTGCCTCCTGGATACCCCTCACTGGGGATCAAGCCCGCAACCCAGGCATGTGCCCTTGACCGGAATCGAATCCAGGACCCTTCGGTCTGCAGGCCGATGCTCTACCCAGTGAGCCAAACCAGCAAGGGCTAAAAAAACAATTTTTTTTCAAACCCAGAATCTGACTTCAAAACTGTGTTCCCACATCTACCTTCAAATAGCCCTTTTACAAACAGCCATTTTAAAAAAAGATCAAAATTAAGTAGGAAGGTTAAGTACAACAGGTGGTTGTACAATATGTGTGGTTCCCATTACTTAGAAAGAATGTTCTTTTGTTTTTGTCCATGAAAAACTGAGACACAAGAAGGAGATCTAAGAAGAATCACCGTAGTCAGTAACTGAGCAGCGGAGTTAAAACTCCTTGAGACCTTCCCTAGTCATTGTTCCCTCCCTCTCCATTTTACACTCAGGAATGCTGGGGACTGCAGGTTTAGTTTTGTGGTGCCCAGCTGTAGATTTTATTTTATTTACTAGGGGCCCAGTGCATGAATCGTGCACCTTGAACTGTGGGCCGAGAGGCTGTGGTGGGCACAGGGACGGGTCTCAGCCCAACCTCTGCACCCCCGCCTGGCCCCTCCTTCTGGGGCCCCAGTCCCCCCTCTGCTGGCAGCCCTGCTCCTCCTGCCGCCGCTGCTCCCATGCTCTGACAGGGCCGCCCGGTTCGCACCCGCTGATTGGGGCCGGTGCCAGCAGTGGGTGCGAGCTGCGGCTGCTTCCCAATCGCCCCTCAGGAGCAGGAGCAGGAGGAGGTGGAGAAGCCCTGAGGGGTGATCGGGGCCGGCAGCCACTTGCACCGCTGATGGCACCGAGCGATCATTGCTGGCACCAGACACTGGCAGCGGATGTGAGTGCTGGGCAAGACCGCGGCATGAGGGAGCAAAGAATTTTCAGTAACCACCAGAGGCTCGCCTTGATAACAGTGACCAGTGCCTTGCCTTGGTCTGGTGCCCCTGCTCACCTGCTCCACTATCCCGCTGCGGCCGACGCCCACCATGTTCCTCCTCTGCTGCCTGCTGCTGATGCCCGCCATGTTCCCCACGCACCCCCTGGTGGTCAGCGCATGTCATAGCGACCGGTTGTTCCACCGTTCGTCTATTTGCATATTAGTCTTTTATTATATAGGATAGGATTTTTCTCACTGGAGGATATGTTTATTGATTTGAGGGAGAGAAATATCAACGTGAGAGAGAAACATTGCCTCTTGTACACTCCCCAACTGGGGATCGAACCTGCAACCTAGGTATGTGCCCTGACCATGAATAGAACCTGCAACTTTTTGGTGTATGGGATGATGCTCCAACTAACTGAGCCACCTGGCCAGGGCCTTCCCTAGATCCCCACAGGAAATGAAATGCGTAGTGTAATTCCTTCCCTTCTCCCCCTTTTAAGTGAATTTCTAAGTCTTCTAGTAGGATATTTCATAAGAATCAGGATTTATTATCATTTTACGCTTTTTTTTTAATTAGTAAATGTACAGCACTGTTAATACCAATGTGGGTTTGAAATGTTATAGCTACCATACATGTAGCTTCTGACATTTGCAGGATCTGTTCTGTTTAGTGCCATTTAAAGATAATTATTTAGCCCTGGCCAGTGTGGCTCAGTTGGTTGAGGGCCGTCCCATGCACTGAAAAGTTGCTGGTTGGCACAAACCCAGGTTGCAGGTTCAGTCCATAGGGTGTGAGCAGGAGTCAACTGATCAATGTTTCCCTCTCACATCGATGTTTCTCCCTGTCCCTTTATCTCTCTAAAAAAAATCAATAAAAACATATTTTTTAAAAGATAATTTTTTAGAGACAATACTAATGAGACATTCCTTATGAATAAATTGGGATAGAAAAGATAATTTCTGTTTGAATCAGAATAGTTTTAAGTCAAGATAACTTAAAGGTAATTAAATTGACATAAACAGTGGTGAATTGCATACTATTTGAAAAAGTTTAATATGACTTTTTTTAAAAAAATACTTTTATTGACTTCAGAGAGGAAGGGAGAGGGAGAGAGAGATAGAAACATCAATGATGAGAGAGAATCATTGATTGGCTGCCTCCTGAATGCCCCCCACTGAGGACTGAGCCCGCAACCTGGGCATGTGCCCTGACCAGGAATTGAACCCTGACCTCCTGGTTCATAGGCCGACGCTCAACCACTGAGCCACGCTGGCTGGGCTATTATGACCTTTTTTTTTTTTTTTAAATATATTTTATTGACTTTTTACAGAGAGGAAGGGAGAGAGATAGAGAGTTAGAAACATCGATGAGAGAGAAACATCGATCAGCTGCCTCCTGCACACTCCCCACTGGGGATGTGCCCGCAACCAAGGTACATGCCCTTGACCGGAATCGAACCCGGGACCTTTCAGTCCGCAGGCCGACGCTCCATCCACTGAGCCAAACCGGTTTCGGCTATTATGACCTTTTAAGAGAAGTTTTATGTTTGTAGTTAAGGGGGAAAGATTTTCTTTTTTTTAAGGAATGATTTATGTTAAAAGACTATGCTTGTTGTGACCTACCTTCAACTTTTTTTTTTTTTGTAATTAATATCTGATACTTAGCACCAGTTCTTAATTGCTAATAAATTAAGATATTAGACATTTAGTAGTGCGCTTCCCACAACCCCATTTACATTAAATTTAAGGATCAATCAAGAAACTTGTATTTGAAATTTATATAAAAAACGAATCGGTTAGCTGTCAGGTTATTAGAGACCGCCTTAACTTCACCAAAAATCTAAAACTTATGTTGGTAATCCAGAATTTAGCATTAACTTTTCCTCCACTTGTAGAATAAATGCATTTTCTTTGTTTGGACTAGCTTATTCTAAATGTAAAAGTTACTGAAGAATAAAGGGACTCATCCTCCAAATTGCTAGAGTATGTAAAACAAGCAAACCATTGTTCAGTGTTATGTTGGAGGCAAATAATTCATCTTAGAATTATTCCTTTAAAATGAATTGTATATACATTCTAAGAATGAAACGTCTATTTTTGAATATTAACGAATATATATATTACAAAGATATGAAAACTGTAAGGTATACTTTTTAAAAAATTGATTTCAGAGAGGAAGGGAGAGAGGTAGAAACATCAATAATGAGAGAGAATCATTGATCAGCTGACTCCTGCATAATCCCCACTGGGAATGAGCTGCAATCAGGGCATGTGGCCTGACCGGGAATTGAACCGTGACCTCCTGGTTCATAGGTTAACACTCAACCACTGAGCCACTTTTTCGTATGAAATATATTTTATTATTTGAACCATAATTTAAATGGAATTATTTAACCCAAATTCATTCAATTATATGAACTTTAAAGGTGCAAGTATTAATTTTGAGGGATAATTTTTATGGCCATTGTCTATTCCAGAAAACTGTTTTTCTAGTCAGACATCCTCATTAATGAAGTACATAGTCCACAGTTGCTTAATTCATTTAAGTGATTATCTCCTACAAAGCCACTTAATAACTTTGTGTCTGAGATTGACTGAGGATTTTCTAAAACACTGAGACCATGATGAAAATGCCATTTCTTATTGTTTAGCATTGGGTAAAACATTTCTATAGATAAGATTTGAGATTTCAGAAAAAGTGCTAGATATCCTTAAAATGAGAAATGTTTTAAAGATACTTTTGAGAACAAGAATTGATAAAACCAGTGCAGTTTTGCAGTGTGGAAACTCACATTTTGTTTTCCCAGGTATGTTTTCATTGTAGAAAACCTGGCCATGGGATTGCAGATTGCCCGGCCGCCCTTGAGAATCAAGATATGGGCACTGGAATATGTTATCGGTGTGGATCTACAGAGCATGAAATAACCAAGTGCAAGGCTAAAGTAGATCCAGCTCTTGGTATGTTTTTTTCTTATCAGTTTTTGATTTGTTTAATTAAAAGTGGGAAAGTGACCAATAAGTAGCCAACTGGGTTTTTCTGTTTACAGGGTTGAGTATGCCAATTTTTGAAATCTTATGAGATTAAAATTTAAATTATGTAGATACATGTTTTCTTCTCAGAGAATTTTAAAATAATGTGAATTATATGACTTATATAAAACCAATTAAAAGGAACTGTCTGATCCTTACAGGTGAATTTCCTTTTGCAAAATGTTTTGTTTGTGGGGAAATGGGGCACCTGTCCGGATCTTGCCCTGATAATCCCAAAGGAGTCTATGCTGATGGTGAGTACTATTACCCTTGTATGTCAAAACTTTGAGTTATACTTAATTTACACTGTTAATTAGTTCTTGAATATTTTTTAAAAATATATTTTTATTGATTGCAGAGAGTAAGGGAGAGGAAGAGGGAGAGGGAGAGGGAGATAGAAACATCAATGATGAAAGAGAGTCATTGATCAGCTGCCTCCTGCATGCACCCCACACTGGGGATCGAGCTTGCAACCCAGGCATGTGCCCTGACCAGGAATTGAGCCATGACCTCCTGGTTCATAGGTCAATGCTCAACCACTGGACCATGCCGCTTGGGCTTGAATAAATTTTTGAATAAGTAGCAAAACCTTGAGAATTTCATTATTTTTATTGAGCACTATTCTACCTACTGGACTTTTTGGGTACTATGACTTGATATATTAATCAAATCAGGAATAACTTGGGTGAATATTTCAAACTGCTTACTTTAGCATCATTATGAGAATATATCAAATTCTGCTTTTAAACATAACAGAAGCAAAGTTATAATACTTTAATATAAAATGTTAATTATAAGATTTAAAAAATAGTGTGAATTTAATCTCAGCCTAGCATACCATTTTGTGTAAAGGGTTGCTGTGCATTATTCATTTTTGTAGTAGTTTTTGTTTCTGAATGATTTCCTTAGTTAATTGTCTGGCATGGCATCATGTAATTTTCTTACCTTTAGCTCAGCTAATGTCTTAAGGTCCTCACAATAAAGTCTGTGATGTCTAAAACTTTAAGGAGATTGTCATATGTTAATGTGAGTCAGATATTAATGTGATGGCTGGTACCTTCAGGTTCTAGACACCTCTTGTGTCATATCCTGAGTTCCATTGGAGAAATCCAGTGAAAAAGCCTAGTTTTGGGAGTTAAACAGATTGGTTATAGTCCAAAGCGCCACTTACTAGCTGTGGGACTTTGGCTATGTTATTTAACTTTTCTCATCTTAGTTTGTTCACCTATAAAATGGAGATGAAAAATACTGTACGTATTTCATTGATTCTAAGATGCATTTTTTTTTTCACATTTTAATATCTCTGAACTCAGAATGTATCTTACCATTGGTAGGTCCCACATAATTGACATGTTTTCTTTTTTCTGAGAAGTTTGTAAAAGAATGACACATCTTATAATCAATGGTATCTTAGATTTAATGAATTATGGTATTTACTTTGAAGAGTTATGAGGATTAAAATATATTATTTCACTATGACTCTCTAAACAGTAGAGACACCTGGGCCTGGAAAAATACTCAAAAGTGCCTTTCAGTTTTGAACTTATGAAACAGGTCATATAACATGACTAATGAGCAAAGATGGGTAGTCAACCAAAATGACTAGATATTAAAAAAAAAAGTACATCAAGAGGAGTAAATCACATAGAAGTGGGAGCTCAACCAGGTTTATATTTTGTAGGGTCATTTTCCTGAATAAATCACTTAACATTATGAGCATGATCATGATAATTCTTTACCATCACACAAAAGATTCATTTTAGAAATCGTGTGTGTTGTAATTCACAGTCCTGGAATATTGCTTAAAGTAGGTAAATGGTCATTTTAATTAGGGTTAGGATCCCTGGCAGATAGAATGTCTGGAAACATGGCTCTGAGGGACATTTTTAAGAAAGATTGCCCTCATAGTCAGAATTCAGGTGAGATCTTTGGGCTTCCATTTAGAAGGGGTAAAATTAGCAATCCTCTATTTTAATTTTCATTCCTTTCGTAACTGCTCACCCCCATCTGATCTATATAATAGAGAGTGGTTTCTAACCTTTGAGGGGGGGTGGTTATTGATCATTAGGTAATGTGATAAAAACCATGGACGTCCTCAACAAATGCATCAGCACACAAATTTTGCTCACAAGTTTAAGAGTTCACAAACTCTTGCCTATTTTACCATGGTCCTGGCTTTTATGCACTGGCTCTTGGACACTCCAGGGGACAAGTGCCTTCCATCATCTCTCTCTTCTCTTTCCCACTCCTCCCCTGAAGGCCAAGTGGAATAAATGGGTAGGTGCAGTTAGTGCTCTGTGATGTAAGAGGAATGGAGAATGAACTTATCAATAGGATTGGTGGTACCCACCTATGTTCCTGGCTGACAGGTTGTGAGGACCAAATAAGATATAAAAGTGCTTTGAGACATTAAAAGCCCTAAGTAAGTGTGAGAGATTTTCAATGACTTTGTTCTTTTACTAGGTGGCTGCTGCAGACTTTGTGGCTCTGTGGGACATTTTAAGAAGGATTGCCCTCAAAGTCAGAATTCAGGTGAGATCTCTGGGCTTCCATTAAGAAGGGGGAAGATTAGAAATCCTTTATGTTTTTGCTGCATTTTGTTATTAATAACTCACTGGGGTATTACTGATTTTTTTAAAAAATATATTTTATTGATTTTTTTACAGAGAAGAAGGGAGAGGGATAGAGAGTTAGAAACATCGATGAGAGAGAAACATCAACCAGCTGCCTCCTGCACACCTACTGGGGATGTGCCCGCAACCAAGGTACATGCCCTTGACCGGAATCGAACCCGGGACCTTTCAGTCCACAGGCCGACGCTCTATCCACTGAGCCAAACCGGTTTGGCGGTATTACTGATTTTAAGGCAACCTAGTTTCCTGCTGCAGTGATGACTCAATCATTTCTCTGTCAGCTGTAGACACAGTACCAATTGTGCATTAGCTGCTGTTCTCAGGTGGGGAAAAAAGGGACCAATAAGCCCTGGAGGACCCTGATCTTACAAACATCTTATTTATAAACATTTATATTTGCCAACTGATTTAATAATAGAGCCAGTTCTGTTACTTAAAGAAAAGTATAGATTCACTAAGAAAATAAGAAATATGAATGTAGCTTTCAATTCTATATAATAAAAGCCTAATATGCTAAGTGTCCAGTCGTCTGGTCAACCAATCAAAGCGTAATATGCTAATGATATGCTAAGGCCGTTCAACTGCTTGCTATGACGTGCACTGACCACCAGGAGGCAGATAGTCAACTGGTCAACCAGTCGCTATGATGTGCACTGACCACCAGGGGGCAGACGCTCCAACTGCTAGGTTAGCTTGCTGCTGGGGTCCGACTGATCAGGACTGAGCGAGATGAGCCGGACACGCCCTGGAGCCCTCCCTCGTCCCTCCCCGGCCCCTATCGTGCACCGGTGGGGTCCCTCGGCCTGGCCTGCACCCTCTTGCAACCCGGGACCCCTTAGGAGATGTCAGAGAGCTGGTTTCGGCTTGATCCCGCAGCCCGAGGGACCCCACTGGTACGCAAATTTGTGCACTGAGCCTCTAGTAATCTTATAATTGAGTATCCTCATATGTGCTTTGCTTTTTGTGTACCTGAAGGATTCAGAGTTGGTCGCAAAAACTACTGAAAATATTAAAATTGTGTTGTCCACACAGTATCTGCCCAGTTATATTTTCTTCCTAATGAAATACTACCTATCCCTAGTCACCAAAAACTTCATAAAGGTTCACTATACCTATGATAGATTTGGGGGGGAAGTGAAGACCATATTACCTAATTTACCTAGATTAGAATGATGATAATTCTGTGTGAAAGAAAGAAAGACTGTAGGATACCCAGTAGTGCTTCTTATGGGAAAAAAACACACACATTTCTTTTTATGTTAAACAGTGATGATACAAATAAGTCTACCCGTTTTTACTTCCTACCCCTAACATTTAAATTTGATAACCAAGAGTTCTTGTTTATAATGAAGTCTAGAAGATAGTGTTTACTACATTGTAGGCAGTAAGACTGAAATGATGAAGTGGAATTTGAATTCTCCTTCCTGGGAGGATTGCCACTTCCCAAATGACAAGACTGACAAGCAGATGTTGTATAATTTCACAGGTGGAATCTTGTGCATTTAAAAGTGATGCTTCATAAGTCTTGCTGTTTACAGACACTTGGAATTCATTGACTCTGTAATGATGAACTCTGGGAAAGAATGAAAGTGCTTTCTCATCAATTTGTGCATTGCAAAGCAGTTGCTGCATTTCCCTAATTGGGATGAGAAATTGCCTGTGGTACTCGGAAATCAAGGGTTATAATCAATTAAAAATTACTCACTTTTCTTCCGTGATGGAGTGTTCCCTCCTTGTGATTATTCATGTCAAAACTGGTTCCTTTGCTAAGCCCAAACCAATCTATGACTACAGTTTTTCTTACATTCTGACTTTTCCGTTCCTTTACAGATCGAATGGTTACAGTTGGTCGCTGGGCAAAGGGGATGAGTGCAGACTATGAAGAAATTTTGGATGTGCCTAAACCACAGAAACCCAAAACGAAGATACCTAAAGTTGTTAATTTTTGATAATGACTAGGACTATCATAAGTTACCATCTCATTGTTATATTCTGAACTGGGCCTTCTTCACAAGTTGGAGCTGGGCTCCCTTGGAGAGGCCTATATTGTAGATATTGGTATGATCTGGGGAAGTCAAATAGTTAACTGAGTTCTGTCCAAGGAGCACTTCTGCCTGGAGAAAATCACTGAAGAAAAGCATAAGATGTTTAAATTGGATTCTTTAAAATAACTTTTTTAGCAGAACTTACGTGTAACTAAGTGGTTATAGACCTAATTGTAGCAATCATCTTTTTAAAAAAATATATATTTTTATTGATTTCAGAGAGGGAGAGGGAGAGAGAGATAGAAACATCAGTGATGAGAGAGAATCATTGATTGGCTGCCTCCTGCACACCCCCCACTGGAGATCAGGCCCGCAACCCAGGCATGTGCCCTTGACTGGAATCGAACCCAGGATACCTCAGTCTGCAGGCCAACACTCTATCCACTGAGCCAAACTAGCTAGGGCCTATCATTTTTTTTTCTTAAAAACAAAGTTATGCAGCCCTGTCTGGGTGGCTCAGTTGGTTGGAACATTGACCCATACACCAAAAAGGTTGTGGGTTCGATTTCCAGCCAGTGTGGGTAGGGGAGGAAGCAACTGATTGATGTTTCTCTCAAGCATCGATGTTTCTCTTGCTCACTCACTGTCTCTCTCAAAAATCAGTGGAAGTGTATCCTTAGGTGAGGATTTAAAAAATCAAATAAAAGTATGTATTCATCTGACACCTCTAAGCTAATTAATTGCTTTGCATTTGGAAATGAATTTTTAGTTCTATTGTTTTCTAGCTCAAAGTATCAATTATTTATAAGTTGTCAACAAAATCATTTGTATTTTTATTTTAAATATATTTTTTACTGATTTTAGAGAGGAAGGGAGAGGGAGAGAAAGATAGAAACATCAATGATGAGAGAGAATCATTGACTGGCTGCCTCCTGCCTGCCCCTCACTGGGAACTGAGCCTACAACCCGGGCATGTGCCCTGACCGGGAATCGCACCTCCTGGTTCATAGGTCGATGCTCAACCACTGAGCCACGCTGGCCGGGCTGCATTTTTAAAATATTTAATAAAAATGTATTTGGTATTTTTCTGAATACCTAATTCTGGATTTAATTAGTCATTGTCCCTTAATGCCCATTAACAATCTCTTTGGAATCACAATCTTTTATGAACCCTAAATGACATTAATTTTTGTTTCAGATTTCACATAAAGAATTACATATTTTTGAGGTTAAAATTGAAGAGTATCTCACCTTAGCAGCTCTTTCTTTGCTCTTAATGTTCAAAAAAGAAATTCAGTTTGGAGTATTTGGCTGGAATAATGGCACATAACGGACTGTATATCAAACTTAATAGCATTTTGTTCACATGTTTTAGATGAGTCTGGGTGCATATCACCATAATAGAGTTAGAACACTAATCAGAGACCCATTAGTGTCTTTGTTTGATTTGATGAATACATGCATACTTAATCCATATATTTCACAAGGCTTACGGCTCCTATTGTGCTGTATAATGCAATGACTGGTGGAGGGTGTATTTCATTTGGAATTTTACCTGATTGGATACATTTGTAACCAAAGGAAACAGCTGTGATTAGTTACTGATGCTTCAAAAGCAAATATTTACCAAATAAAAAAACACTTTTCTCTATTTCAATATCTATACAACTCAACGGTTCTAGTCTTAATAGGAGCTGCTCTTTTATTTCAGTGAGAGGAGAACGTGACAGGATATGGCTCAGCATCCCAGCGCTTAAGGAAATGGTGCCATGTAAGAGGAATTGCACACGCATACATCTGGAAAAGGACAGCAGTGCTGCCTACAGTCCAGATTTGTTTCATTTGTCCAGTCAGGAGCCAAGGGCTCTGCAGCGTCCAGCCTGCCAGCTGCAAGTTAAGTGCAAGGTTTTCATACAGGTTTCGATGAGATGTTAGTGTCCATTTTGTCTTCCTTGGGTTACTTTTGTTAAATTTTAATGGCCTATAAGTTAGTGACATAATTAGAAATAAACTGCAGGTACCAAATGTAATATTAAAACAGTGTATGGACACTGGCAACGGAATTCACCGAATTCTGACATCCTGAGAGATTGTGTATTCCTTGAAAGAAATTATAGATGTTTATTAGCTACAAATGCCTAAAGTATAAAACAAACATATATTCATTATTTCCCAAGCACCTACTATGTTCCTGGATTCTCTTAGGCTCGTGGGATTGTGGCAGTGAATAAGACAAGCAAGACCACATGCATTCTAATGGGGTTTTAAACAATCTTACCCCTTCCCCTTTTTTGCTACAATTATATTCCAAGCCATTAGGCTTGAATCTCAACTTGCTCTTTTCTCGGCAATCCCCACACCCAACCCCCATGGTCAGCTCTCCCTTATGTCCTTTAGGCCTCTCTACAGTCAGCTTAATAGTCTTTCTGTGACCAGTCTTATAGAAAATATCTCCTTCCTCATCCCAATAGTTTTTTATTCTCTAATTTTCTGCATAATTTATATCCCCGCCTAACCCTATTTGTCCTTTCTTCACCAGATTATAGGTTACATCAGGACAGGAATTTGGACTTGCTCATTAGTATATCCCAAGAAGTACTCAGCATAGAGAAACTTCCACTTTTGTTGAGTGAATTATATTAACAAGTGACATAAAGGGAATTAACAGAAAGATGTTGCAAATGATTGTATCTACCTTAGATAACAAAGGGGAGGCCTTGAGGGAGGGATTTTTCTTCTGAAATCTGAATGACAAGAAGGAACCAGTTGTGAAGATAATGGGGAAGAGCATTTAGGGAGAAAGAATAGTCAAAGCTCATAAGAGGAGACTGGCTTGTCATATTCAAGGGGCAGAAAGATGTGGTCTTTTGTGACTGTCTTCCTTCACTTAGTAATGTTAAGGTTCATCCATAATGTATAGGTATACAGGGAGATATATAGGGGCAAGGCTTGGATATCTTGATGTGAGATCATAGATAAATGAAGTTATACTGAAGCCAATATGACTGGAAAAGAGTGAGGAATAAACTAGTAGGAAAAGGTCAGATAGTTAACCGGGGTCATAGTTTTATAGGCTCTACTAGTTAGTTTTTGCTGTGGAACCACCACAAAAATCTCAGAAGGATGCAATAATAAACCTTAGCTCATGCCTGTGAGTCAAATCTAGGCTGGGCTTACTTGGACCACTGCTAATGTCAGAGTTGGCTTGGTCACATCTGTATAAAGTTTGGTTTGGGGTCTACTGAGCTAAGCCAGGCTCAGATGAAGCAGCTCAGTTCCACGTCTCTCTTCCTTTTCCTGGGACCAGCAGGCTAGCCTTGGCATGTTTTTCTCATGAAAGTGTCAGAGATGTAAGAGGGCAAGTGCATTTGCAAAAACACTTTGATTGCATCATGTCTGCTAACTTTCCATGAATGAGTCACATGGCCAAGAACACAAGCAATAGACTAGTACACCCCATTCATGGAGGTGGGGATGGTGGTGAGTAAATATTTCTGAAAAACAATCTAATATACCAAACAGAGCCTTATTGACCATTATAAGGTGTTGGCTTTTACTGTGTGATGTGCAAAATTGTTCATGTTTTTTAAAAATATATTTTTATTGATTTCAGAGAGGAAGGGAGAGAGAGAGACAGAAACATTTATAATGATAGAAAATCATTGAATGGCTGCCTCCTGCACACCCCCTACTGGGGATTGAGCCTGAAACCCGGCATGTGCCCTTTACTGGAATTGAACCTGGGACCCTTCGGTCTGCAGGCCAGTACTCTGTCCTCTAAGCCAAACCAGTTAGGGCTATTCATGGATTTTGAGAAGAAATATAGCATCATCCGACTGCTGGGTTGAGAGTGGAGTAAAGGAAGAAGCAATAACAAACAGGTTATAATCCAGGTGCGATAACTGGTTCTTTGGATTAGGGTTGTGGTAGAGTTGATTAGAAGGACTCAGGTACTGGTTATATTTTTAACAGGGCTATAAGATTTGCTGAGCAGAGGTGGAGATTTGACAAATGAATAGCAGGATGTATCTAACCTCTTAAGTGGTCTAAACTCTAATGGAGACGTCCTTCAACTCTTAAAGGTTATCCTGTAGAGGGGGCTGACTTAACATATGCAGGTTTGTCTTATGAGTTAAGGCAAATCACAGAGTAGAATAATGAATGTTGAAGTCAAGGGAATAAAGTGCTAATGTAATGGTTATGAAAGAAGAGCTCAGTTAATATTCTCCTTCTCTGCAATAACACATTTTGCAGGTACTTTCCATGTGTATATATCGCAGTAGATACTAAATTGGTCAGCCACCTTGAGTATATGTTAAATGACACTAGTAAAGTAGTTCCTATTACTAAAATTGATTGGTTCCCATTACGCTTTAATGTCTTCCTAATTTAAAGCTCTAAAACATGTAATACATCTTGTCAAATGCTCCTGACATACAGATGCCTGCGGTACGTGGAACAATCCACACTATTAATCAGCTAACCAACTTGTCATTTTTTTATTTTATAAAATTTCAAACAACACATTTCACCTCTGTAGTCTAAAAATATTTATGATTATTTTAGCCATATTTGTACCATTTTACAGAACACACAGTATTGCACATGGCAGTTTTCTAATGCCTGTGCCCATGGACGGGGGCATCTAAAAACATTTTTAAAGCTCTTTTAATGCTAGTTCAAACCAATGGTCTTTGACCTGAGATGCACTTTGGTTTTTAACCTCTTCCTAACTTCATTTTGCTTAGGCCAATTATTTAGTGGCCGAAAAGCTTGCCAAGCGTCATGGATAAGGGTGCTTGGAATTAAAAGTGGGAAATCAATTACAGATAATTGAAAGTTTATCACTTAAAATATACTTATTGACCCATCATCAGTAGCATTCTCTATGAATCGTATACAGGAACCTGCTGTCTCTTCAATGGATTTTGACCAGCCACCAAGATTCCCAGCAAAGTAAGGCAAGATGCTAGCAGAAATCTGGTTAAAATAAGATACCTGTTTCAAAAAGAAAATACAGTATTTCAGTTTCTTATTGACATGGAGCTTTTTCAAGCAGAGAACTGAGTCTTGTTAGTATAGGGAAGGCTATTAATCCTACTCTTCTGGGGACCTGGAATGGATCTGAAAGGATGACAGGATTCCCCTGGTATGGACACACATTGCAGAATTATAATTAATTAGGAAATATGAGTAAAAGACTTCTCATATCTGTAGAAACAAAGTAACCTGCAGATGTTTCATCAAACTTACAGTGCATGAACTGCTGTCAATAGCATGGATGAGAAAGCCAGCACATATGATTTCACTTCTGACGTACTGTGGAGAAGGTGGGACCGATGGCAGAATGACCGACTTCACTGCCACGGTGTAAGTGTTACTGAAAGATAAAAGGACACTTTCCAAGTTCTTGTGAGAAACGAAGAATAGTTGTTGGAACTATTCTAACATTCTATATGGCTATATTCAAGCCATAGTAATATGGACCAGAAGTGTTTTCTGTCTAAGAATTATACACCAAAACTGGTTTGGCTCAGTGGATAGAGCGTCGGCCTGCGGACTGAAAGGTCCCGGGTTCGATTCCGGTCAAGGGCATGTACCTTGGTTGTGGGCACAATCCCAGTAGAGGGTGTGCAGGAGGCAGCTGATCGATGTTTCTCTCTCATCGATGTTTCTAACTCTATCTCTCTCCCTTCCTCTCTGTAAAAAATCAATAAAATATATTTTAAAAAAAAGAATTATATATACTTGCAGAATTCCACAAAGATGGAACCAATCTCCAAACTGGTTTTATTGTGCTCTAATGGGCTGTAATTTCACTTTCCTTTTAAATGAAAGAATACCCGTTGTTTTAAAGAAGCCCCAAACAACAAGGAACCCTACAGAATAGAATATAGAGGTTTTCTTCAGTTCACCCTAGTCAATGCACTCTCTCGAGATGATTACACTTAAATTTTTGGTGTGTATTCCTCCAGACCTTTTTATAAATATATGACATTTATGTAAGAAAATGCACAGATATATATTTTTACATAAATACAATCATTGTCTATAATTTGATTTTTCACCTAACAATAAATCTTTGGAGGTGCCTCTAGTTACTTTAACCTTTTAAATGCTGGCAGACTACTCCATAGCATGGCTCTACCACAATTTATAAGATGGTCTTTGGTCTATTTCTAATATCTTTTGCCATAATTGATATTACACTGAACATCCATGTGCATTAATATTTATACATGTGTGGGATTATTTCTACAGGCCAGCTTTGGCTCAGTGGATAGCATCGGGAATGATGCTGGCCAGTTTCAGGGGTAGACCTTAACTGTCCTGGCAGCTTCCACTTGTCTCTTTGAGTACTTGCTCTTGGGGCCCTTCTCCTTAGAACGTCGGCAATGTGCTTGGAGAAGTACAATGCCCACAGAGAAGCCATGGGTAGATGCTGATTGACAGCCCTAGGGGGCAGCGGCCATTTTGGATATCTAGCACAATGAAGCCTTTGTAAATCCTAAACCAATTCCTGGTATTTTATTTGGCTTTTACTACATTTTTACTGATAGTGGAATATTTCAATGGTTTGCTAAATATCAGTTTTACATCTGCACAGAGAAAAAGAAAAGGGAACTGCTTTAGGAATCTTGCATGGTGCTTTGTATATAACTGGCACTTAACATATGATTGTTTGGATTGTGTTTGTTTTTTTAATAACTAAGGTACATCTAGAAAAATTTCAGATGAACATCATTCAAGACCAGAAATGCTTACATTGACTTCCCTATTTTCATATCAACTTTTGCTTTCTACACTATACTATAAAACATTGCTGTAACACTTGAATTTCATTTACTCACCTATCTTTAAGAGATCTTCGTGATACAAGTACGACCAAGTCTTTGGGTTTGTCACCACTCGCTATAGGACAAGTGATATAATATATTTGATCATCTTCACTCACCCAGTCTATGACTTCACAGGACCTGTGTAAATAGAACAGTGAAAGAAAGGCTGTACTTTTCTACCTGATTGAATAAGGCAGTTACTTCTTTTGTAACCATCCCTCCAAAGCCAGTCTATCTTTAGAAAGCTGTTTGGTCAGAAGAAATAACACTGCATGTGATGGTGAACATGGTGGCCACCTGAGTCTAAGGTCACTGGCCACAACACTTCAGAGAAAAGCATTTCGCTGTTTTCCACAAAAATTATTTTCTGTAGGATCAAGTAATAACATTTTGAAGACTAGGGAATTATATGGACAGTCCAAGAAGAACTCAGGTAAAGGGATATGGTATATTAGAACACTAAGTTTGGAATCAAACAACTTGCCTTTGAATCCTGGACTGCCATTTAGTAGATGTGTTATGTTAGGGAAAGTCACTTTATTTTTTCTATCTGTAAAATGTAGATAATAATACCTTTGGGGTTATTGTGAAGATTAAATGCACACACCTGGCACAGTACCTGAATCATAGTAGGTACATAAGAAAAGTAAGTTGAATAAGAATTCATTCCTCCATTATTCAAGTTCAATATGGCTAGAATGTCAGGTGACATAGCAAATAGAGGGAGAAACATTTGAAAAGAATTAACACCAAAGTTTAGGCATTGTTCTTACTAAAAGCTTTGTACTTACAGAGTATCTACAAATACCGATGCAAGAAAATCGTGACGTGTTTCTCTTCTCTTGGAGTGTTTTATTATGACAGCATTAACCATATTGTATCATTCTGGCACCCATGCAATGTAACACATGGCCCTGGAGCTGTTTCACTTTCGTGGTCTTAAATTATCTATTACATGGTATTAATCACAATGAGGTTCAGTCATTTTAAAGATGAACCTCTACCTCATGAGGATTAGGAAGTCAGCAGTAATGCCTACTATTATAGGAAGCCCACCTCACCAGTCCTTCCCTTTCAGCAAGGTGTCCTGGAAGCCCTGAGTGGGCCCAGGAGCTGGAACTCCTTGCAGAGGCAGTGTGGCCTCAGTGTGGTCAGTCCCTGTCAGCACAGTTGACAAGGTACACAGCTCCCTCTTCCAGGAAAGGAGGGCAAGTAGAGAAGACTGAATTAGGGATGCAGGAGACAAAGGTAACAGAAGTAAGAGATGTAGGCTGACGGGAGTGGCCCCTGATCAGGGAGAGCAGGAAGGAATGTCTTTCACCTCCATACTCACACAGCTTCCTTTCAGCTTCTCACCTGGGAGTGCTGCTTCACAGAAAAAACAAAGGGACCACCAATTAAATATCAAGAGTGTGAAGTGAGAAGAACAGTTCGATAATCATTTCCTCAAGAGCAGTGAAACTGTGTTCAAGTGTGGAATTCAGAGCCTGATAGACCTGGGCTCCAATTTGGGTTCCATCGCTTTATTGCTGTGCTATCTTGGCAATCTCCCTCATTAAATGAAAATACTATCAAACTTGAAGAGTTATTGGCAGGATTACAATAGATGTGGGTAAAGCATGTCGACTCAATATAGATGATAAATAAGTGATTATAATAACTTGGTTTTGTGTTTCTTAATAGCACCTAATGTCATTTTCTATGCAGAGCAAGCTTTAAAAAATAGACTTTAATTAATAAAATGAGGTCACATGTTGGCAATGGAGATGCAATGCAATCTGGAGGTTATCTTTTCTATCATGTCAGGGTTGATTAAGAAAATATTTTAAATTTATTCTTACACATAATGGGGGTCCCACAAGGGTCGCTTGGTAAAGTCAGACAATAGATGATAAGCCAAGTGTGCCGGTTTTTCCACGTGCTTTTCAACCCAAACAGATAAAATATCTTGTTCTTCCAGAGTATATATTTTTATCTAAAAGATAATAAAAATAAATTACAAAAGAAAAATGGATGTTTTTACTTAAAAACATCACACATGTTGCCCCACTTGTGTGGCTCAGTGGTTGACCTATGAACCAGGTTAACCTATGACCTATGAACCAGGAGGTCACGGTTCAATTCCCTGTCAGGGCACATGCCTGGGTTGCAGGCTTGATCCCTAGTGGGGGGCATGCAGGAGGCAGCCAATCAGTGATCCTCTATCATCATTGATGTTTCTATCTCTCCCTCTCCCTTCCTCTCCAAAATCAATAAAAACATATTTTTAAAAAACCACCATGGACATACATATGTAGTTATAGGCTGCTGGCATCCAAATAACAATGAAGCCAATGATGGCAACTTCAAACACTTGGATGTCTAGGGCTCTAACCAGGATGCGTACTTCCGTATTCTCCAAACAACATGTGACTTGAAGGTGGGTTATTTAATTATTGTGCAATAGTTCAGGAACAACAGAAAATATCATCAGATTGTTAGGCTGCATCCCCTGCTAAGACCTTGGAGCTGAGGCTGCAGATGTCAGGTGTGCCTTCTCGTGGGCTGAGGTGACCCCAGGAAGTCAGCTGACCACCTCTAGAACCAACTCAGCCACTCAGTGCAGCCGCTGAAGCACCATGTTTCTTCAGCACAAAGTGTTCTTTCAATAGTGACTCATAGGGCAGGCCGATTCCTGGGTTTCTTTCTAATGTCTATTATTCCTTAGCTCAGAGGAGGCCCATCTTGGAGAGCCATGTGACTTATACTGAAACATTACTGTATCCCTGTTACTCTGAACTCTCCTTCTACTGTGCTTTTGCCAATAATCAGAGACATGTGTTCCACTAAGCACACATTTCTCTCCTGCCCATTTTAAATCTCCATCTCTTTCAGGGTGCTTTGAAGTTAGTGTTGAAACTTGTCATCTTATAATAATTCCCATGGCAACAAGCTGTGTGAAGACAAACAAACACAGGGTTAAGACTTCACTGCAGGAATCAAGCAGATGGAATAATCAAGCTGTGAGGGAGAAAACCTTTATTTAAACATAAATATCTTCCAGAAGAGAATGAAGCAATGAGAAAGTGACCACAAGCAGCTCAGAATGGAAAGAAGGGACTATTTGCTTATACCATTTTACCTCTCCGGTTGACCTCAGCGCCAAGCCTGTCTCTCAATAGAGCCCACGGAGGAGAACATAATGTCGGCCCAGAGCACTTATCAAAAAGAGAAAACCATGCACAGGGCTCCAGTTGGTGGCTGAGACTCACCCAGCATGGGTATGCCTAACTTTGCCCCTTGTACAGCAGGAGTAGAAGGAGGTTCATCGGTGTAAATTCGGAGAGAAGTCACCTTATCAAAGCTTGGTGGCCATGCAGCTCTAAGCCAGGCTGCTGGAGCTCTGCAGTCTCAGAGGAGGTGAGGGCAGGTGGCCAAGTGAATTCCACAACCTCAAGCATGGTGTGCCCTTAGGGAAGCCATGGTCTAACCAGGGTGGAGTGGGATGTAATACTGGGCTGAGTACTTGTTGAGGGTTGAATTGTGTCCTTTCCAGATTCATATGTTAAAGTCCTCACCCGTAGGATCTCAGAATGTGACCTCATTTGGAAATAAGGTCATTGTAGATGTAATTGAGATGAGGTTATATTGAAGTAGGATGGGCTCCATATGACCTGTGTCCTTATATAAAGGGAAAATTTGGCCCAGCCAGGGTGGCTCAGTGGTTGAGCATTGACCCAGTAACCAAGAGGTCAGTAGTTCAATTCCTGGTCAGGGTACATGCTCAATGCCCAGTAGGGGATATGCAGGAGGCAACCAATTGATGTTTCTATCTCTCTATCCCCATTCCTTTCCCTTTCTCTAAAATCAATAATATATATATATAAAATTTGCACGCAGACATGCACACTGGGAGAACGCCACGTGAAGATGAAGGCAGAAGTTGGGTGACACATCTACAAGCCAAGGAACACCAAAGATTGCCAGAAAACCACCAGAAGCTCAGGGAGAGGCCTGGAACAGGCTCTCCCTCACTCCTTCAGGAGGAACCAACGCTACCAACACCTTGATCTTAGACTTCTAGCTTCCATAACTGTGAGACAATACATTTTTATTGGTTAAGCCACCCAGTTTGTGGTACTATTACAGCAGTTCTAGGAGATGGTCACAGCACTTTTCCTGGAAGCTGCTCCCCAGGTTGCAGACACATGGTGCTGCTTCCTACCCTAGAGCCAAAGCAAACATCAGGCTGAGCAGTCACCATTAAACCCTGCCCCTGCAGACCTCTCTAGACTTACCAGTGCCGAGTACAGTACTGCGTGACTGAATGCTATTTGGACCATTCCTCAGAAGGTAAAGGTAGCAGGAAATCCTCATCGCTCCTCTGTCAGAATCAATGACAGATGCAGATGAAGCAGACAAGGAGAGGCAGAGATTGATGTTGGCTCTCTTTAAACCCTACTACGTTAGAAAAGCCAACTTTTGCTTAGTGAAAAAATTCTCCAAGACCAACTTTCCAAGAAAACCAGTTCCCTTTCATGCTCAGAAGAATACAGGTTAAATTCCATTTGTAACGAGATCATATAATTACCCTATTTTAGAGGCTACTGCTTCATGGATGATGAAAAACAGTACACATGTTTCAGAGAGCTGGCATTATCGAGCATCTCCTGACAGTCAGCCACTGCTATGTCCTGGGACCATAGTGGTGAGCAAAAGGGCCCTCAGAGAGCATGCAGTCTAGTTAGTGTGGGCACCAGCTTCCAAGGGTCTCCTAACATACCTCTGAAACCAGATACAGTTAGAATCCAAATGATGCCTGTTCAGTTAAATTTGATGACACACAAAATATTGTAAAAGGTGTTAGAAGAGGTACAAAGACAGTTTTCCTTCTTAAAAAGTTTATAATCTAGTTAGGAGGTGAGAGGTGAGGGGGTGCAGGGTGTATTTGAAGGACCCCAAGTCAGCCAGCATGGAGTAGTAGAGACAGGGCTGAAACAAGGCTTGACTTTTAGAAATACTTTTCCAAAAAGATTTTTTACTTTCTTAAAAGCAGTAGTACAAGCAGAACCACCACCACCATGATAATTTATTTTTTATTTTTTAAACTGAATTTATGGGGTGACATTGGTTAGTAAAATTAAATAGGTTTCAGGTGTACAATTTTTATTTGTGATGTATAATGAGTTGTTTGTGCATACACCTGGATGCCTCCTACCTTTTCCACAGCACTGGTGATCTCCCAACCACTTTTGGCCACCAGCTTTTTGAAAGCCTCCACATTGTCATCACTCAGGGATACCTAAAATGCAAATATTTAAAAAGCTGTGAGTTCAATGCACAGATCTGGGAATATTTTCTGCTTAGAAAATGGGTACTTTTAGAGCCAAAGTGATTATGTTGAGCTTAAAACTATGCTACAGGTAACAACTTCTGTCTCAAACTTTTAATTCAGAATTCAGACAAGGTAACCTGAGGCCTGTATGTTTAGCAAGTTAATATGATTTTAGTTGGTATGCTAAGCAAAGATAAGATTGCCCTTCAGTATAACTTATTAATAAACTTGGATTTTCCTTTACATTTTATGGCCCAAAACATGAAAACAACTAATACTTTGTTGCTGTGTTATAAAAATGCAAGCTGGTGGGCATGTTTTCAGCAAAAGTCGTGCTAAGACAATGTCCCATGCAGCTCAGATGCATTTGAAGGCAGAGCATCCTGCGTTTGTAATTTGGGAACTGTACCTACAGCTCAAACAAGGCAGCGAAGCAACTGGTTGGTAACCAGTTACTGACAGCTTGGTTCTGTTTCATGGTGAGATGACTGGTTGCTATGATTCACCTTTTCATCTAACCTGCGTAAGCACAACCTGAATCATTTAAACAGGGAGTTTCTGTGTTTGCAATGATGTGATCTTTACACGAAGCGCTCCAAATCATAAAACTGTCACCTGGTTGCGAATATCCCAGTGTACGCAAAGTGGAATCTCTTGTTTGTGGGAAATAACATATTTTCTGGGGGGGGAAAAAATAAAAATGTTAAATAACAGTTTTCTTCCCTGTATTTAGCACACAACAGTAACCATGACACACACTTTCTTGAGCTGAAATCAGCAGTTTAAAATGCTGCTTTTACTGGTGGAACAATCAGGAAGAACAATTTTCATCACTGTCAGAAAACATCAGACCTTCTCTCCTTTCATTACGTCGGACTAGACACCCAGAGAGCAGCTCTTTGTTATGCAATTTGCAAGGTAAGATCTTACACCATAAAATCCTTATACCCAGGCCCCTTACCTGCCCAGACGAATTCTCTTGCGTGCAATAGCTCCACAATACCGTCTAAAATCATCCTTTATTAAAAAACAAACAAACAAAAAACAACAACAACAAAGTAAAATCAATAAATTTCTAATACTTTAGTGCTATAATCTTAAGTCTCTCTCTTTCCAAGTCAGCTGAAGAAGCTAACTGGGACCCAGTGTCTGCGTGAATGCTGCTCAGGTGAGAGTTGGCAATAAGGCAACTGCAGGTAATTCCCATGAACGTGGAGCAGCACAGAGATGCGGATGTAAAGTGGGAGAAGAGAATCAGAAATGGGAAAGGAAGACACTATGCTTCCAATAGCAGTGCATGGCCCAGTTGAGGTGAGATAGGCAGGGCCCCCAGTGAGACAGTATAGGGGTAATATCTGGACTCCATCTTGGAGGCCTGACTATGGCTCCTTGCTCAGGAACCTTCCCATAGTTGAAATTAACCTAATCACATCCTTAAAGGGAAGAATGCACAATAACATTTTTAACATCATGTTCTGCAAAATAGTTGCTTTGTCTATTAAGTGGTAACTAGAATATTTGCCCAAGCATTATTTTAGGCCCTTTGAGTGGTCCACTGACCATGGAAAATATCTGTGACTACCCCGGGATCAACCACTGGCAAGTGACGATCATGGGACAACTGACCTCCTCCTCATTCCCAAGCCCGACACCCACCCCAAGCCATCCACAAGAACCCTCCGGGAGCTCGACCTCTCTTTTCTGGTCAACTCCCTTGTGCATAAGCTCTTTTCAATAAATTCTATCTGCTTGATCTTGTTCTGAGTGCTCATTTTTATGACATTACAACTCAAGGACCTGGCATTTCAACAAAGGATTAGAGTAATTTGGGGAAAAAAAGAAAAAGTACATGGTGCTAATAACTTACCTTAGACACGGGTTTGATTTTGGGAAATGTAACCAGTTCTTCCTTATCATCGACAGCTTTATAAATGAGAAAAGCACTGTTGATATGACGGCCCAGGCCCTCGGACCACTCCTGGCAGTCAAAGGCCTCCACGCGCACTCCCACTTCGACACTGCAGAGGGCGACACAGGGCGGTGGGCAGAGAACCAGAGCTTACTGGGCCTCATCTGCCCACCACCTCCTCCTCCTCCTCCAAGCACGGAAGAAAATGAGGGTCCTGGTTTTTCCTCTGTGGTCTGCAAATCTATGCAATGGTTAAAATCCATTTCTCCAGGTCGACAGATCAGATGTGCAAGCCCTGAGGGCATTTCGGCTTTACTTTCCCACTTTCTGGTGGGAAAAAGGCCAATTGTGAGTTTGTATATATTCATGAACATATTTTGGTAATGGGGAGGGGAATTTAAATTATGCCAAAGTCAAGTTTTCTCCCCTCAAAACAATAATTCTGTGATTAAAAAGCATCAAACACTGAAATTGGACAGGAAATACATATATTCCTTTTTACATTTAAAAATAAAAAATACTAAAAAAATACAAAATTAAATCTTTTCTTTGTATATTAAGAGTAATAAAAGTAACTGGAAAGTGGCTTGGACTTCATGGTTGACCACACAGTCACTGGGACTCTTTTGAGAATGAAAGGAAGAGTTAATAATTACAACAGGTATAAACCAGTACCATTCTGGTCAACTGAGATATACAGTCACTCTTATAAAAACCAACCTACCACAATTTACTCAGTATAAGGAGGCCTCTAGTAGAATACAGGGTTAAAATGTGTACAAATTTTGAAAACTGAATGGGGAAAAAAAATAGAAAGAACTTGGTGATTTTAAACTAGTCCCTATATTCACCTCCAGATTGAAATAGAAATTTTAAAACATATTTATGTGCAAGTTCGAATTCGTTTATAGCAGCCGAAGACCACTACACACACTTTACCAGGTCTGAAACGTATTGTTGACAATGGCATTGAAGACAAGACGATCTCCCACCGTGGATGGTCCTCGGAACTTAAACATGTCCACAGACTTCAGAACCGGGTGCGCCCGACAGAGGCGGCTGTTGACACAAAAGGAAGGAGAGGAGAAATAGATCATTCTCCTCAATATTTTCAGGGACTGCTGATTCGCTTCACAGGCACAACAGACCAGTGTCCCGTGTGCTTTCTAAGCAAACATCTTTTAACTCTAGTGAAACAAATGACTAGATCGTGTGTGTTGAGAGTGGTTCTGTACACCGCCTGCAAACGCTTTGGGAAATACCATGTCCCCCAGCCGTGGGGTCTTTACCAAGATGCTGTGCTCCTCCTCTGGTGGTGACAGTCCTGCCCTTGTTTTGTTCCCCATGAAAGTCCCTCTGAAAAACAAGCCAATGTCTTTCATTCTAATTTGAGGGTTATATTCATTCTGGCAGCTCATGACTCCCATCACAGGGAGCAGGGACTACCAGGGCGGAGCGGGGCACAGTGCGAGAACTGCCCGCTAGTGCCATTCACACCAGTTCCTCAGCTTCACAGCTAACAGATTCACCCACATAGCAAAAGACTTAACATTTTTCCCTCACAGAAAAATTACCTAGATTGCTGCACAAAGCCTAAAAGGTTACAAGTTACTCACTTTACAATTTTTGTGTGTGTGAACTTTTCAAATATCTATAAAGAATATTTAATCTCAGAAATACTTCCGTTATTTTTACATTTTAGATTCCCACTGTGGCCATTCAATTACGCTAAAGAATTGTGCCTACACTCACTGAACAGACTCTGCCACAGTTAATTATATTGTAAGCTTTTAACATAGAAGAGGTTCAAATGCTTTCTTATCAAGAATGACAATCTCATTTAAAAAACAAGTTCTCTTTTATTTGTGCATAATTTATAGGAAGGATAACTATAGGTTCCTAACTATAGTAATAACTACAGGCACATTAATAATAAAATTCTTGTAGTTTTGGGAAAAATACAACCTTAACAGTTTTCAATGGTTACAAAAATTGTCCGAAGGGCAAATCTTGTTGAAATGCATTTTCAGAATACACATGTTCTTTAAAGCTGCTAAATTACCTACATGTTCTAAGAATAAAATAACCTTTTTTGAAACTGAGGCAAATTTAAAAGTATTCTTCCAATTCTTCCCTTTTTTCCTCTTATTTTTCAGTCAATCCTTTAGCCATAATGACTCCAACACAACTTTGAAGGTCAGACCTAAATGTAAATTGCCATTAAAAAGTTTGCAAATTGACTACTTTTAATTGATATTTTAGTTGACTACTTTTAAGTGTAAATGCTGTCTCCTATTTCTATTCTGCATCTACTTTGTTATAACTTTGTTACAAGGAATTTTAATGCCACAAGGTCAACATTCATAATTCAGAATAAACTATGAGACCAGTCACTTCAACTTTATTTTTGAACCAAGTTAATCTGAAGGTAAACAGGTAAATGACTAATTTTCTCATTTTGATAAAAGACAACACTGTCTTCTCCTTGTCTCCTTGACTTGCCCAATAACTGGATCTCAGTCCCTTTCTCCTCTCACCCCACTGGTCCCAACATCACATGTCGAAGGTCAAAACCGAGAACCTTGCAGAAATAGTAGCCACCGTCTCCATCCAAGCCATAATCTGGCCACCAAATGTATTTCCATGATGGTTTGCATGGGGTGGGAGGACAAGTTCAATGCTCTGAACAGAGGTGCCCCTGGTGGAAACTGTTCCTTCGTCTTCATCAGAAATGAGATCTGAAAGGTGGATGTAAACATTAATGATGGTGGAGTTCACTACAGGACTGGAGACTACAGCCTTTCTTTCCCACCAGCACTCTCAAGTCATGAGATTTTTTAAAAAAATTAAATAATTCCCAAAGACTTAAAACTCCTGAGGAAATAAATAGATTTTATTCAAGAGAATAACTTTCATTTGAATGGTATTTAGAATGAATTGGATAATAGATCAGAAAGGGCCTTTTAGAGAATATATTCCAACCTACTTTACAAGTCCACTAGAATTTTGATTAAAAATGATTAAATTTAAACTTGAGTTGTTTGGGGTGGAGGAGGAAAGGTCAGGGTAGGAAGGGGCAGAAATAAATTTGGGGATTGATGGATATGTCATTATCTTGATTGTGGTGATGGCTTCATGGGTGCATACGTGTTTCAAAACTTACCAGACTGTATTGGGATGATCACTTTGTAAGTTATATGAATGTTTAATGACTATGCTGTATACCTGAAACTGATATAGCACTGTATGTCAACTGCAATTGAAAAATAAATTTAAAAACAACAACAAAAAGCTTATCAAACTGTACACTTTAAATATCATGTCAATAAAGTTGTTAAAAAAATACAGAAACTGGAGTTACAGAGGGCCATAGACACGGAGAATCTGGAATAGCTTGCTGTACCATATAAACTTCAGAACAGGAATGTGGCTTCCCATGGTTACTGTTTTGTAATGAATGCAGTCACGAACAGAAAAGACACAATACATTGTACTTCTCAGTGTCTTTCTGCTTCTTTTGAATCATATCTGCTTCATTTACTGACAAATTGGTTTTTACTCCCAACAATGGAGAAATCATTTGCTTTGGCTGCAAAGCAGTAAATGTGTTCAATTATGTTGCCGGCATCATCAAATGAATCACCAGCCAGGCTTAAATCTCACTTGCTATTGTTGAGATGGGAGAGGAAGACTCCCAAATCAGGAGGTACCGTCCTGGCTGTCCAGTCAGAGGCAGAGCTGAGCTTGCAGTGTGAGAACACAGATGTGCCTTGCTGTTGTTGGGAACTGGGAACGGGGCCATTCTTGGTGCAGTCACATATGAGCAGAGAAATGTGGTTATAGAGACTTTTTAACTCCATTTCCTAATGGAATTTTAAAATTTATAATTAACTGATGGTCTTTTTTTTTTCTTTCCCCCCCCTTTGTTCAACTGATCATTTCAGTCATCTGCCTAAAAACATGTTTGTACTTCCCATCCTCCTAGTATAAAATCCTTCCTATTGCCCCTAGCCCTTCCCTTTTGGTCTGTCTTCCTCTCCATCCCAGCTGGTCTGGTTCCCACTAGCACCTCTCCCTTCTGCATCATATTCTCTCTCTCTAGGGGGTATAGCTCAGTGGTAGAGCATTTGACTGCATATTCTCTCTCTCAATTTTTCCCTCTCTTTGTTCCAGCCACAATAACTCTTTTCAGTTCAACTAAACGTTGCCTTCAACATCAGGGCATTTGCACATGTTGGTTCCTCTTTCAGTAGCAATTGCCCAAGCCACCACCACTACCACCTTCTTCCACTTACCTCCTGTTCTCACTTGGCTCATCTCAGTCATCATTCTCTCAGGAAAGCCTTTCCTGACCTCCGCAGCCAATCCCCACTCTTACAAGTTCTTACACGTCCCTTTATTCCACAGTTATAGTTTTATGTTTATTTGTGTGATTTTTGATTATCTGATTCCCTAGGTCCTAAGATCCTTTGAGCAAAGACTGTTTTTTTAAATTTTAAGATAATTTCCTGAATAGGTGCTCAGTAAATATTTATTGAAGAGATGAATAAACTTATCTTGGCTGATTTTTCCACATTCATAGTCCTTACTATCAACAGATTATTTTTAGGTAACAAAATGAGAGGACTGAAGCATACTTCAGTTGCTGTTTATTAGAGTTCCACTGCTCTCTATTTTCACTTAAACAGTATTGTAGACTCTTCTATTTTTTCCCAATTTTGTGAGAGTTAAATAGTATCTCATGTTGGTTATAACTTGCATTTTCCTGATTAATAATGAAATCTGACATATTTTCGTGTGTACATTAAACTTCCACTAAACTTTCTTGTTACTTCTTAATGA